GACGAAATAACATTGTCATAATTTCAGACGATATTGAAAGTGCTCCTCTGGATGTTGGATGCAGCAGCTGTACAAACATTCTCATATGCTCTAGTTAGAAGTAAACTCATGACCGCTGCTTGACAAGACCATTGCTTTCAATACTGCGCTACAGAGCGAAGACTGTGCCCTGTAAGGTAGGGTTTCATGCATTAGAAATTGCAATATAACAGATGATGGGATAGTCTGTGCGTTATAAACCAAGACAATGTGATAAAACCGAGATAGAGCCGAGGGTTCATGTGCAGAAGGATGAGAGATGCAATGCTGAATCAGACAGTGACCAGGGTGATACAGATAGAAGTCTTCCCTCGTAGTCTACTGATTAGGATTCAGTGTCTTCACTGCCATGCGTGTTTATGGTTAAAATTTACATAATAAATATGAAACATTTACTGATCTTTCGAAGCAGAATTATGTCGTGGACCAGTCAGTATCGCTTCACTCCACATTACAGTTCGACATCAGCAATGTCAGCTGCAATTGCCTGACGTGCAATTTGTTTAAGACAAGAACAGGGGAGGTCAGGAAAAGTGAAGGGCAACGGTGGTTTGTGAGAGTTGACTGTAGGCCAAATGGAGCCAGACTCAATGTGAGCACTGAAGACTGGTTTTTTCTGGTTACCCTGGTATACAGATCACTCTGGAACAACCAACCACAATGACTGCCCTTTTGTTTGCTGCCCTTTGCACATCTCACCTTGGTTCAGTGCCCCGATGGGATCCACACATTTTTAAGCAAATTTTACTCCGGTCAGTTTTGCAGCTTTATATTAACATCATGCATTTTAGGAGTAGAAAGAGACAACTCAGCCCATCAAGTCTGCTCTGTTATTAAATGAGCGGATAATCCTGATCTGATAATCCTGAACTGCACTTTCTTGGATTTCTCCATAACCTTCGATACCCTTGCTGTTAAAATTTTTTCGATCTCAGCCTTAAATATACTTAATGGCCCAGGCTCGACAACCCTCTGCTGTAAAGGAATCCACCGATTCACAACCATCTGAGAGAATAAATTTTACCTCGTTTCTGCCTTAAATGTGCGACCTCCATTCTGATACGAGATGCTTCATTCCTTGACGGCCCCAGAAGGGAACTAACCATTCTGCATCCAATCCGTTACATCACCAAAAACACCTGTATGTTTCAACAAGGAGCATTTTTGTAGGACTGTTTCTGAGCAGATGAAAGCAATGGATTTCAGTGCTTCTTCCCATTTAATTCATCTC